AAATGTTGCAAATATTATGGCATTTGCAGATTTGGATGATGTTAAAGCTCACCCAATACATTATCTAACCACCGTAGTGGGAATTGTAATAAACCTTTTAGAATGGAACGAACGTTCCGTGAAAAGGGAAATGCATATTAATGAATTGAATTAAAAATAATAATCTCGTTATTATGAGACAATAATCTCGTTATTATGAGAAAAGCTGTCCGATCGACCTCATTTTCCTTAATTGGAAATGAAAGATCGCTGATGAGGAAGAGTGGTTTCTTCCGAAACAGTTTCATTATTATTATTATATAACGCATTTTTTAATAATTGTTAATTGTAATCATATATGTATTTATTAAATTTAATAAAGAAAAATAAATTTTTAAAAGAAAATCAAAAGTCCGTCAACCATCTGTCTGTCTGTCCTTATAGTTACATATTTAAATTTGATGCTGCTGCTCCGCCAGTGTGTTGAACTTCATAGTCGCGACCCTCGTACCTGAAATGAGAGCGGGGAGCAAATTGTGGCTGTGCTTGTGCCTGATGTGGCTGTGCCTGTGCCTGATATGGCTGATATGCCTGATGTGGCTGTTCCGGCTGTGCCTGATGTGGCTGTTCCGGCTGTGGCTGAGGCTGATGTTGCTGTTCCGGCTGAGGGTGGTGTGCCTGACGTGGCTATTGCTGATGGTGGCCGAGCCCAATTTTATGACTTCTCAGCCTTCGCATAAGTGCCCTTCCCTCGTCGGCAATGGCGCCATCTTCGCCATTGTGGGCGGCAAGCAACATTTCAAAAGCTCGCTCTAAAGCAAGAGAACGCCTCTCTTGCCTCTGCCTTAATGCCTCATTTATGTGCGCTCATAAATGCTCTCATTCTGAGTCCATTCATTTTCAACCGGAGCACTGCAAGCCGCACATTCGGAATATTCTGAGTCGCACGTTGCAGCAGATGGCGCAGGAGCAGGAGACTGGCGAGGGTTTCAGTTGATTGCAGAAATATTGAATACGCTTTCACAGATCCCCTACAAGTTCGTAGATCTCACTCTCACCTTCCGTGTCCTTTGCTGGAGATTCACTGGAATTCCCACTCGCTTTGGACGATGGAATGGCCTTCTTTCTGAATCGCTTGGCAGGTCTTAATATAAGTTATAAGTATATAAGTTATAAGTAAGTTATACTTAAGTTATAAGTAATATTTTGTGACTATAGTCTTAATCAGTGTACTTACGCCGGGACTTCAATGTTTTGGTACGCCTGAATTCCGCACCGCAGAGCTCACACTTGTATTGCCGCTTGTCAGAGTGGACTATTTTGTGCTTGTTGAAGGTTCGCCGCGTTGCAAATCTCTTTGCAATTTCCACAGCTAGTACAAATTTCCCAGTATTGGCCGATAAAAAGCACTTAAAGAGAGTGCATATCAGGCACCCACTCAATGTGGACGTGGTGTTAGAGTTTTTGTATAGTAAAATATTTACAAAAACCAATTATTCTAGAGTTTGTACAGATATAAAGGAACGGATATCTAGATTAAGTGAGCATCAATTGCCGAAAAAACTTAGAAATAGTTCCACCGATCAATTAGATAATATGACAAAATTATTAGAAAAATATTTCGCCACTTCCAATAGAGACATAAATTTATCGCACTTAATCAGCTCCAACTTTGAGCTTAAAGGAAAGGCGATAAAAGAAAATGTTTCCAATATTATGGCAATGGCAGATGTTAAAGCTCACCCCCTTGATTATCTAACCGCCGTAGTGGTTTTTAATTTTGCCACCTCTTTTCGCCTGAGTCCCCAATGTAAACAAATAACAGTAAACAGTACAAACAAATAAAAATAACAACTTTAAATTTTAAAGTTTAAAACCAAAATCGACCTATTCAGGGCCGGATCAACCTTCAACCGGGCCCTGGGCAACCATCAATCTGGGGCACTCCATTTTTTCACGCCAGTTTCTTCTTTTTATACCCGTACTCAAAAAAGAGTTAAGAGGTATATTAGATTTGTGGTAAAAGTGTATGTGTGTAACGCAGAGAAGGAAACGTTTCCGACCCCATAAAGTATATATATTCTTGATCAGCATCAATAGCCGAGTCGATATAGCCATGTCTGTCTGTCCCTCCGTCCGTCTTGTTGAGCGCCTGGATGTCAGAGACTATAAGAGTTAGGGTAACCAAATTTGGTTTCCAGACTCATGTGATATCACACTGCTACAAGTGTATTTCAAAAGTTCGCCCCGCCCCCTTCCGCCACCACAAAGGACGAAAATCTGTGGCAGGCACAATTTTAAAGCTACGATAAAACACAGTATCGTAGGGAATGACCATATCTACCAGAGTGCCGAATCTGGGTTAGATCGGATCATTACTATAGCCAGAAAGAATAAATGTCTTTGCCATTACTAGCCTACCCCCACGCGGAACACATTCTCTCTCTCACTCACGTGCAGTGCGCGCTCTGCTTTCCCGTTAAGTCAAAAACTTAACGTAATGAATGTAATGTAATGAACCCAAAAGTACATAATATAAGTAGTATTTATGATATATAAACTTTATATACATACATATGTATGTACGTTTATGTATGTACATCTACACGTACATATACATATGCAGCTGTTTAAATCAACGTATCTTGTTAGGTGCGGGGAGGGGGATCAGCGAATGCAAATTTTCAGTCTAAGCACGGTCTCTCTCTCTTTCTTTGGTCCGGCTGTTGGTAAAAGAGACAGGTTGATTTGGTAATGTGGGAGGGGGAATTGTTTTCAGGCATCAACAAGCAGACTGCGCATCTGTATTTGTTTTGAAAAAGAGGGGTTGTTCGCAACAAGGCAATAAACACAAACCGCCCGCCCAGGCAATGAGTTAAACAAATAATGTATGTACATACATATGTATTTATAAATATTATTAAAACCAATGGACATATGTATGTATGTACATACATACGTACATACATATCTACATATCAATGTAGGTCCTACATACATACAATACATGCAGCTGTTTAGATCAGCCAATATATTTAGGGAAGGGGAGGGGGACCAACCAATGCAGGTTGTCATCTAAACATCCATTTAAAAATAATGAGAATTTTCCGTTAAAACTAACGCAAAATCTAAAACATCAGCGGCTGGCAAGCGCGCGCTCTTTCTCTCACACTCTATCTGTTTCCCCTTCCACAATTAGGGCCGGTTTTAGGGCGCAATATTTTAGGGGGCGCCAAATTCCAAATGGAAATTGCTTGGCAAATGTTTGACTCTAAAAATTATTCTCACTATCTCTCTGTTTCCACTTGAGAGTTCTCTGCCCACTCAGGAAAGTGCTCTCTCAATTGAGAAGATGCGCGGCTGACTATTTACACACATGCATGCACATACATACATACATACAGCGAACAGCGATAGCAAAGAGAAATAGTAAATAAAATCATTTACCACCCACCACCCCACGCCATAGGAATGCAATTAGAAGTATAAACATATTCTAGTTAAAACATTTGCATAGAAATGGCTCAGACAGATTGGTTTTCTGCTGTACATATGTATGTAAATACATACATACATATGCATTGAATTGTCCGTTACGCATGCATGTTTTGACTCGGTTTTTATACCCGTACTCAAAAAAGAGTTAAGGGGTATATTAGATTTGTGGTAAAAGTGGATGTGTGTAACGTAGAGAAGGAAAATTTTCCGACCCCATAAAGTATATATATTCTTGATCAGCATCAATAGCCTAGTCGATATAGACATGTCTGTCTGTCCGTCTGTCTGCCTGTCTGTCTGTCCGTCTTGTTGAGCGCCTGGATCTCAGAGACTATAAGAGCTAGGGCAACCAAATTTGGTTTCCAGACTCATGTGATATCACACTGCTACAAGTGTATTTCAAAATTTCGCCCCGCCTCCTTCCGCCCCCACAAAGGACGAAAATCTGTGGCAGGCACAATTTTATAGATACGATAAAACTAAAAACGCAGTATCGTAGAGAATGCCCATATCTACCAGATATGCCAAATATGAATCAGATCGGATCATAATTATAGCCAGAATGAAGAAATTAATTTTCAGTTGCTTCCCCTGCCCCCTCCTGACCACGACAACGCAACTAATTTTCCTTCTCGCTCGCACACTCTGCCGCGTTCAGTGCGCGAGCAACCCCTAGCGGAGGAGATGTAGAATATAAATGGTACATCTATAATCTACAATGTAGATAAAGCCTATACTATAAATCCTAGTACTCAGATCCAAAAACTGTTTGCTACCAAACAAATTTCATATATTCTTCCAGCGGCCAGTGTGACCAGAGATGTGCGCAGCATTCGTACGGTTACACTGCTCAGACAGCTGCTTGGTTTTGTTTAAAGTTAATAAAATGCACTTCTTCGGCTGGGGTCGCTCTTCTCCAGCCATATCTTGGGCTCCCTAATATTTTATTAGCAAGGTAATGGGTCTGACTATCAGCAGCAGCAGATGGCGACGTCTCTCTTGCCAGACAAAATGTTTTCAAAACAATATTTGTTTTATATTTATGAAAATTAATAAAAATAATAAATTATAATATCCATATAATGCTGCATTAATTAGATTATATTTGTCTTCATTATTAAAATATTTCATTTGTTTTTTTGTTCTCATATTGCAATGTTTGCTGGCAAAATATATCAAATTGATATAACTTTCGAGGGGTAGAAACATACCAGCCCCAGAAAATTCACCGAATACAAGAACAATTTCCCCCATTGAAAAGGATCTTGTTGGGGATAGAAATGGGACCACTCCTAGAGAGTAACAGTCATAAATTATAGTAAAAACAGAACTAACTTAACATAACTGTTATTATATTCTTGTAACAGTTTTTTAAAAGCCCTTCGTGACATAATGGATTAAGCTTACTCAACAATTTTAAAAACATCGATGCCTAAGACTAGATTGCTCTTGCAGTGTAGTGGAATACGAGCGCACACATCGATAGCAATGTTTTGCAGGGTAAAAATATCGCCCATATCGATACAACATAAACAATCCTAAATTCAAGAGCTGCTCGCGCTTCTGTTTAACTAATAATTGTGCATACATATATCTCTGGTCGAGTATTTCTAAATATATAGATTGGTAGATAGCTTTACAATCGCATACGAGGCTTACGCTTTCAGTTAAAAGTGCAATAACTTGTTAATGTTTACATAAGATGGCAGCTAATCCAACAACACCAAAAATGACGAGCACGCTGCAGTAAGTTTTAGTTTTTGTAGTAGTAGTGGACTACAAGTTGTATTATAAAAAGGCACCATGTGCTCTCGTTCTTGTGCGTCGTACCTACAAACATGTGTATGTATGTACATATTTATATCTAATTGCCGAAAATTTACAGCGGCATGTGAAAATCGTGTGCTGCGGGTGCTGTCTGTTTGCGAGCGTGTTCGGTGTCGTTATCTCTAGATTCGATTGCATTTCTGTTGACCCGGGGGGCGGTGCAGAGGACCGGCGGTATATGAATGAATTGATAAACCAAATATACATACATATGTATGTGTAGTGTGTTGGTCGCTGTGGCTCTTGATTCCGAAATATGTGGCTGATAAGAGGAGCGAATTCTTGCCAACAACAACAGCACAACAATCGAAGGCGCGTAAACAGGCCCACACTAGCGTCCACAAAAATGTGCACTGCTTAATAGTAGGCGCTTGCTTCACAGTAATTTCCATTGTCAGTGGAATGATTCTGTATTTAGATAAAGCTCAAACACCTCTCCATTGTGAGAGCCACTTGAATTTGATAGCCAACACTGGCGTCCAAATAAATGCGATCAGCCTAAAAAATAAAAAATGCGTATGCATAACTTAAATAGTTACATAAACGATGAATCCAGCACATAAACCGTATTACTTACATATAATACTTTATGAAGCGTACTATACTTATACGGACCACCACTCTTTCCACTTCTTTCTTCGGCTGGGGGCTATCGGTAAGGTTCATCGCCAAGCGATTGTGATGCTAAGCAGCGTCGTCGTTGAAGTTGAATTGCTAATTGCTAATTGGGCGCATTAGCGACCAGGCCCTCAAGCCAGAGACATGTGCGATCGGAGCAGCAACGTTAGGTAGGGTGGGGTGTGGTGTGGCGTGGAGGGATCTTTCAGGCTGGTTCCAGGATGAAACTAATCCTTTTGATTCTATCCAATTCAGAGAAGGCATCCTAGTTGGATGCGGCAATCCACTGCTGGACATTTCCGCCATTGTGCCGATGGACTTTTTGAAGAAGTATGAAATGAAGGAGGACGATGCCATCTTGGCCGAGGAGCGACACATGCCCATCTATCGGGAGCTGGTCGATGGCTTCCAGGCGGAGTTCCTGGCCGGCGGATCTGTGCAGAATTCCCTGCGCATCGCCCAATGGATATTGGGACAGCCGAAGGTGGCCGTCTTTTTTGGCTGCGTTGGCGAGGACGAGTATGCTGATATACTAATGGAGAAGGCCCGTTCCGCGGGACTGGACGTCCACTATCAAATCAAGAAGGACGTACCCACGGGCACCTGCGCCGTTCTCATTACCGGCACACATCGATCGCTCTGCGCCAACTTGGCGGCGGCCAACAACTTCACCATCGACCATTTGGATCAGCCCCTCAACAAGGCCCTGGTGGATAATGCTTTGTACTACTATATTTCGGTGAGTACAATAGATGATGATAAAATCGATGCAATATCAATAAAATAAAAATTTATGACTTGATAAGGAAGGAAGGAAGTCAATTCTGTCCAACTCAATTCAGATAAGATCAATGAATAACATAACTTTTTGATTGTATTTCCCGGCAGGGCTTCTTTCTCACTGTGAACCCGCCCAGCATAATGCAAGTGGCCGCCACTGCCCTTGCCAAGCAGCGACCGTTCCTAATGAACCTCAGCGCACCATTCATATCACAATTCTTTATGGCACCGCTGCAGGCCGTCATGCCCTATGTGGACATAATCTTTGGCAATGAGGCGGAGGCGCATGCCTTTGCTACGGCCCAGGGCTGGCCGACCGAGGATCTGCGCGAGATTGGCAAGCGTCTGGTGGCGCTGGACAAGCTGAATCCGGCGCGACCTCGCATTGCCATACTAACGCAGGGCTGTGATCCCGTGCTGCTCATCCAGCGGGACTCGGTTGAAGAGTTTCCGGTCACACGATTGGCGGTGCATGAGATTGTCGATACCAATGGCGCTGGGGATGCATTCGTTGGCGGTTTTCTGTCGCAGTTTGTGCAGGGCAAGTCCCTCGACGTGTGCATACGGTGTGGCAACTATGCTGCTGGACATATTATCAAGAATCCTGGCTGTACGTATACGGGTGAGCCGCAGTTTGTCGAATAAAGATGATGAGGAGAAGGAGGAGGTAAAGAACCAGGATGAGTCGAAATGGCAGAGGAAGACACTAACACACACAAATACACATACACAGGTCTCTGCCACAGAAAGTACGCAAAGCGCAGCAAGATTTGCAATTGTTAATTAAGTGAATATTCTATAAAAGAGAGTGACTAAGACATTTTTGTTAACACTGATAATTGTTTGTACATACATTTAACCAACACTCCCACACACACACACACACACACACACCCATGCACAGAGCGAAAGACACTAACTAACAAGTATATAGTATCACGGAGGAACGTGAAGGAGGATCGGCTTGTGTTTCATATAGATAGAGCAATATTCGAATTTAAATTGATAATAAAACAAAAATGACACAAGCAACCGGAGAACTATCCACATGTCAACATTTTGCACAGCTTCAAAACTCGATTCTTTGACTTCTCGAAAAGAATGTAGAGTCGTTTTGGTACTTATTAGTCAGTTCGGTGTCTGCCTTTGCGTTTTATAATGTGCGTATATGTAAGTAACCTTTCAATCAAGATAGAAAAAACATTAAGGATATGTTAAATTATCAGTTAAATTATTATCGTAAATGTGCTTTTTTTTTTGGCTGTACAAAAGATGATTTTTAACCTTAGCCTTAAATAGAACTTTGTGTAGTTTCGCGATTGTTTGTGTGGCTGACCTCGACTCTACAATACTGCTACTCAAGCAGATAGCCTTTTATTAAGGGCAGGCCAGTGGGCACTCGCTTCTGATAGCGCACATAGTCCGACTGAAAGAAATTGAGCAGGGAGTACTCCTCGACGTAGATGCGATCGTGGAAGAAGAGCCAGCTGACTAGCGTGTAGACGCAGATGCAAATGGGATTCATCAGTATGAGCTGTGTACCGATGGACCACCAGAACCAGCCCACATACGAAGGATGTCGGCAGTATGCATATACGCCGTGCGTAATGAGCTTGTGGTCCGAGTGCTTTTCGTTTTGGACCTGTACGAGTATTTTCAAGTATAATCAATAAAGAAAGCCTCCATTTAAAATAGCTTACCAAGTGCGTAAAGCTTCGTCCTGCTGTGATGATGGCCGACTTCCGGATCAGCTCGCCAAAGGTGCACAGGGCCATGCCTAGCAGCCAAATGTAGCCGTAGCGTTTGAAATCGGGCAGAAAGTGCACTTCCAGGGCATACTCAATCCAGCTGGCTGCCGCAGCCAGGCCATAGTGCACCGAATGGTTTAGCATGAACGAGTCTAGGGTCAGCGTGCGCGGATTGGCGTAGGCTATGATCAGGAACTCTGAATAATGGAAGAATGCCATAAAGCACCCGTAGACGCCAAACTGTTGCCAAGACGTAGGAGCAAAGCAAATGACTAGTACGCTCACAGCCTCGACAAACCCCAGAAACGACGCCCGTATCGCCACCTAGTGGAGTGACAAGAATGATATGATAAGAACGAATATAATACTGCGAAAATGTGGACTGGACATGACTCACCTGGTAGTCGCTGTTTCTGAGCACAAATCGTATTATCATATTTATCAGGGCGTAGTAAAGGACCGGTCCCCAAAAGACGGCACCCCACACGTTCGGCACAATGATGCCATAGTAGATCTGCGGCACCGATGGTATTAGAATGAGGCTCGCTGTAATCACAAAACAATACAAACTTAGACGACCCTCACTGCACGACGAGCTGGCGCTGGTTGCCCCTGCAGTGGGATTGCGCTGGCTGTTTGCACACATTATAACTAAATTATGGGACTATTTGTGCGATCGGCAAATCATGGAAAATTTTGTTTTTCAGAACATTCGGTGCAAAAATTCGCAGAATGTAAATAGACCGGCAATTGGTGATATCGATAGTGGTGTCAGCCGATAGTCCGTATCGATATATCTTATCGATGCATCGGAACATATGCAAGCAGGTTATGTAAAATATAAAACATAATTTTATCAATAAAAAATTACACAAGGCAAAGCGGTTGACAAGCCATGGTTTTCCTGAATATACCACTATTGGTGCGCGCTCGCGGTCCTGATGAGTTTTGGCGCAAAAGACGTATTTTCAAAATGGCAGCAGTAAGTGGACGTGGACGGACTCGTAAACTATACAATTATTTATTAATTACATCCATCCATCAATGCATCCAGCATTATCGTAGTCGCACTCGCAATGTCTATTCCTTCGCCATCCGAAGTGTCCACAGAGCCTTGGCGTACGCCACCAAGGGACGCAAGCTGAAGAAACTGGACATGGCCCAGTTGTGGACGACTCGCGTTGAGGCCGGCTGCCAGCAGTATGGCGTAGGCTTGGAAACCTTTAAGGAGGGTCTGGCGCGCACCGACATTCTGCTGAACAAGTAAGTTGTGCATTTTACGGTTAGATCTGTAATCAATAATCTACTCTGTCCATTGCAGGAAAATGCTCTCAGACTTGGCCATTTGGGAGCCGCGCTCATTCGAGGCCTTGGTGAAGATCTCGCGGGAACGGGCCGCCGTTGAAGGCTTTCCCGACATAAAGCAACGTTCTGCTTTCAATCAGGTGTATGGGCTGCGCAACCTGAAGTTGGACTAGCTTAATCATGAGTAGGATTTCAAATATAGCTTTTATAAATTTTAACAGAGTAACTCGGCTTTTATTGATTAGCTGTCAAGGCTAAATGCAAACAAAAATATTGCATCAGCGTTTGTTGTGTTTGGAAGGGTTACATACTAATAAAACATAGAATTCATAGAATTTTGAGACTGGTGCGCCGAGAAGTGTCTATTCCAGTTTGGCCAGGATGTCAGATTCACGGAACAGAAACAGTTCCTTCACATCGCCCTCCAGGTTAACCTTGGTGCCGCCAAATTCGGGCAAAAGCACACGGTCTCCCTCTTTCACGCCAATGGGAATGTGACTGCCAGTTGACTGGAAGAACACAAGCCAATTAATTTCGTAACAAATGTGCATATACATATGTATGTATGCACACAGAGAGCAATGATCATCAATGTGGCAACAATTATGAAATACTTACAGCATTGCGCGCGCCAGGCCCAACAGCGACAACAGTACCTTCGAGAACTTTGCCCAGCGCCTTCTCGGGCAAGACAATGCCGCCTTTCGTTTTGGTCAGAGCCTCGGCACGTTGAATTAGAATGCGGTCCAGCATGGGTATGATCTTCTTAATAGCAGCGGCCTACAATATTAAACCAATTAAATTCATATTTCTTTTGGCTGCCTCTTGGCTACTCTGCCCCTGCTGTTACACAACAGTGCGGCAAAGTAAAAGTTGTGGAAACTTCTCAAACAAAATTATGTGCACAGCACAGCTTCGCTTCAGCTAGCGGCTGGTAAAGATTTTCGATTAGATCCCTAGCTCAACTTACCATTTCTGTTTTTTAAATGCAAACTGGAGCGCTTGGGAAATTAACTTTTCTTAACTACACGTGTGATGTTGCCCGGCGAAATTTCTATATGCCCCCGCTCTCCCCGCTATCGGAGAAGTTTCGATAGATGGTATCGATGGCAAAAAACCCAGCTATCGACTCCATTATAAATATCGCATGGATTGTTATCAATATCAGTATCAATATACATATTAACAAATTGTATTATTAAAATTTTCCTACAAACAATACAATTTAAATACGTATAAAATTGGGTTGGGCACCCACGAGAGGATTTCAGGCGCTAAACTGGTGTATTGCTAAAACTGCTCTTGCTGAAATTCGGGTGGTTTCCAAGAACTGACGCAAGAGTGACGACATCAGAAATAATGTCATATAATTATGATTTAATATACGACTTCAGCGATCTGCTGTTCCCGGATTTTGAGAGGATCTTTGAAAATGACACCAAATGGAAACGTCAGGATCTGATGGCGTTGCATAGGACCATCTGTGATATGTGTTGCAACGTATCAATTGAGAGAACACGCAGCCAGGGAGGTGGTAGAGTAGTTTACAACAACATAACGAATTTTCTAACCATTCGACTTAAAAGCATTGTCGCGGAGCTAGATTCAATAAATGACGAACAGAAGTTGGTCCGTGAGTATGGAAAATCGTGGAAATCGTACCAGGCTTCCGTCACTGTTCTGGATATCGGGTGTAGCTACTTGAACGAAAATTGGGTAAAAAAAGAGAGGCTAGATGATGTGCTAGACTATGTGTATACGATCTACCATCTGGCTATGATTATGTGGAACAAATTTATATTCAGACCGATCGATCGATCCCTAATTAATGCTATTGAATACACTATGGTGATGGAAAGCCACGCTCCGCCAGCCAGCTCCATGATATATACCGTGTTACAGTCGATCGTCGATATATTCGCAAATGACGATAATCAGTCTTACTCTGTGCTGGAAAAAATGAACAATGAAGTATTACAACCGGTTGTTTTAAAGTTTTTCGAGGATAAATCGAAAACTTTGTTCAAATACATGCTGGAATCGGACTCGTGCAAAGAACTGAAACATTTTGTGAAATGTGCCATTTTATACAAGCCTTCGATTGAGCCCGATCTCTGTCGCATCTTGAGCGAATACCTTGAGTGCCTGCTTAAAAATGCCATTGACAGATGCGGGAGCTCGAATTATGGCAGGGACTATGTTCAAGCCATATTGGCCCTGCGCAAAGTTCCTCCGCTAAGGGCTTTGGCACATCGCAAAGAACTTTTGGCTGTCGCTGATCTTGTGTGTGTTAAGGTGATAAACGATCGCAACCAAGTGGAGAATCCACCGAAAATTCTTGCCCTATACTGTCATAAGCTAATTCAGAAGAAGCCATTATCTGAAACGCTTACAAATGAATTGAAAAGAATTGTAGATGTTGTGGCATTTTTGAATGATGATAGTAAAACATTCTTTACGAAATTATACTTCGCACTGCTGAACAAGCGACGCATCGATAATATATCTGCCTCGGATGAAAACGAATCATTGATGATCTCCATGCTGGGGAAGAATCTTGGGACTGATTTCCTATCCAGGGCCACAATCGACCGAAATGAAATGGCTGCATCGAGTGCCATACAAGCAAAGTGCAAGGACTTCATGCTGGGAATAGGCTTAAAAGTACAAATTGATGTGCGTATAAAGTTTTTTAAAGTCAGAGAGCTCAGTGTTTTAAGTAATAGCATGCGATTGCCCGTGGAACTGGAGCAGCCCGTCAACGAGTTAAAATTATTTTGGTCCAAGCAGTATAATAGATATGCGCTCGACTTCAATCTTCCAAAGTCCTGGGGCGAGCTAACCATGAACTTGAGTGCCTATAAATGTTATACTCTCCAGGTAAACACCTTGCAAATGGCCCTCCTCCTCCAGTTCAATCATCAGAATATTTTCGCTGTCCAGAAATTGGCCGAAAATGTAGGAGCCAGCCCGGAGACACTGATAATGGTACTTAATAATTGATTCCATGACAATCCAACACAATTATAAAATACTCTTCTCGCTATAGGCAATGCGTCCACTGATCGACCGCAAGCTGTTGATCGCCGGTGAAGATTCCGCAGCCTTGACGCCCACATCTTCTATAACTGTGTGCAGTGATTACAACAGCAAGAAATCCCTTATAAACATTGTAATGGCGACGGCTCCGAGGGTAACTGAAACCAATACTCGTATATTGGTGCCGCAAGAGCTGGATGCAGCAATAGTCCGCATCATGAAAAGGGAGAAGCAGTTGCACTTATCTCAGCTGATGTTCAAGGTGACCCAAGAGCCGAACCTTCGCTCCAGTCCTATTAAATTGATTAAAGGTCGTATTGAGCATTTTCTTGAAAATAAATACCTGGAGCTTTCATCGGACAAAAAGGTACTTAAACTATCTAAATGTACGGAAGACTCATAATAAGCCAACAATTATTTAAACAACTGTAAACACACTAATTTCTAAACAATGGTTAACCATCGGACAATAAAATGCTCCTGTAACACTAACAGCAAAGACAGACTCACCATTTTCGTTGAGCGTTTCCTTATTCCTTATTCTTCCTTTGGGAGCACGCCTTTTCTGCTCCGTTGCGTCTATTCCGATATCGATAGCAGACGCGCCCAGTGTGAAAAGAAATTAGTGTGACCGCAGAACGTACATTTCGATATATTTCTGTATATTTCGGTTTTACCTGACTGCATATCTTATCGAAAAACAGCTGTTCTGAATACCAGAAATCCCATCATAGCCATATATATTCAAATATATTTTCCTACGCAGGACTTTGCGTTTTCTGGGATGGCAGCTGTAAGCTTGAGCATAAACGGGGGTCCGTTCAACCTGCTACAGCTTGGGGCCGTTTACCGCATTGGGCGCAATGTGTTATGTGTTGCCGATGAAGTAAGTACACACAAAATATTAAGTTCAAGCCATAAAATGTTGTCATTTTTAGACCCTGGAGCTGTATTATGCTCTGGAAACCTTTTATCGAGCAGCCGTCCTTCGCAACGCGGATAAAATACTAAAGCAAAATGTAAAGATAGCAAGCAAAAGGTAGAGACGGACATAGCCAATACCAGTGAAGAAGTTAAACGGATAGTGGGGGAATCTAAGAAGTCCCAAACAACTACCTTATTAAACCGAAATTTAGAATATGTGAGACAGCATTCACTACTACAAAATGATCACTAGCAAGAATACTACCATGGAGGACACTAGAGAAAAACCACAATCCAAAGCTGCTGCCACTTGGGACATTGTTGTAAGGGTTGTTGGTTGTTGAAGAGCGTACAGCAGCAGCACATCAGAAGGAAACACCTGCCATCACAGGCAAAGGCACAGGCCCGTCGGCTAAAGAGGATGCCTTCAAAGGTAAATAGTTAAGTGCATCTAAGACAAATCATCTAAAACTGATTACATTTTCCCTAGCCATTAACCAACATGTGAGGAAGACAAAACGACAAGGAAAAATTAAAATAGCATTCTCGATGTGTAATCTAGCAGTGTTGGCGTCTGTTCTGAGTAGCATAAGGACCTGGAAAAATACTGATACATACATTACTCTAATACTCCACTTCCTGGATTCAATACATTAGGGCAATGTCTCGTCCTACCGTGGAGGCGGAACACCTTTTCTTCGATTCCAGCTTCGAGAAGTTGTATAAATTCGATCCCTTAATGGCCCTGCAGTATCCTCAATTGTTGCGAGGCACACACCTAATGCCATGCGAGGGTATCGAACCGAAACTAAAAGAAATGAAAGGCAAGTTCTTTAAGCAAATTTCATTATTTTTCCCCTCAATACTATAAAATACTTTTGGCTCCCCTTTAGCAATCATTGAAAGTGATGACTGCAAGGTGCACCGAAGCCGCCTGTACTGAAACCGCAGAAGCCGTATGTCATAGCTGTGGCCAAGGACAAGCCACTCTTGCAGAATTATTCCAATGTCCAGTACATAACCGCAGAGGGTATCATGAAGATAGATAACTAAAATAAATAAATGACGTACATCCTTGGCACCGGGATAAAACAACTCGGCCAACTCATTGCGTTCCATATTCGGGCACTTCAGCCGCTTCCTGAAGATAGGACAAACGGTCTAATAATATCACGTTCTCACAGAGGTTCTACATAATTCAGAAACGTTTAAAGTCGGTATCCTTGCATGGATAAGTTAGGACCACTATGATGGTTTCGAAGACACGATTAATTTATTTATTGATTTTGAAATGCAATTTGTTCCAAACTGAACACACACTGCATTGCAAGCAAAAAGCAAAACACATTGCAATCTGGGAGGCATTTTCTTTTCAAAACGGAAAGTAACGTGCTCCGGGAATGAAAAGTAAACGGCTTTTTTTAGAACAAAACGATTTTAATTGAAAAAGGATAAAAATATGTTTGCTTGCTGTCCACGCACAAAAAAGCATTGCAACAAAATGTGAGCTTGTGTGTACCAACCACTGAGCTAGAGCCAAAGGCCTTGATCAACTTATAATCGATCCTCGCTGGTGAAATTTAAGTGGGCCGGAAAAAAGGCATCGTATATCAAATCCTAGTACTTTTTAAACATTTCATTTTAATGGTGAAATCTTCCTCACCGTCCTTTTTGATTTTCCCATCCCTTCCCCTTTGATTGATTTTTTTATCTGTTCAGTTCGACAAGCACAATAAAATAGTTTTCGGTTTTATTTATACCAATTGCGATTTACCAGACGAGATTTAAGCCACCTGGTCAATTCATAAATACCACAACCGTTAATACTGCCGATTCATAATACCAGTTTGCGGACGTTGCACAAAGAGGCAGACACGGTCTCGAATCCACTCCTCGCTTCCTAAGGGGTCTGCTTTGGTTGCTTTGGGTTGCTTTGGTTTGCCCTTGGAAACACAACTTGAGCACATTGGAGATGGAGCTGCAACTAAGTAGGAATAGGCTCCAGGCTCCAGGATATTGATTCGCATTTTATTTGCCCACAACTTCACCCACGACTTTGTTGATTTTCTAACGTCATTCTGTAGTCCACATCCAGCAATATAAGCGGAGACAAATAAGATAACCTAGAGCAGCTAATAATGAATCCCGAAGCGATTACACGGCAAAAGGTTAATTGGTTTGTAAGCGCGTTAGATGATGCCGCTGAAGAGAACTCAGCGAAGACGTAAAAGCGCAAAAGAAATGTGCAGAAAATACTTACGGCCAGTCCGGGCAGCCAACTCAACCTAATTGGCGCACGCGGCGCATACTTAATGCGCTTAGAGACGGGTCTGGGTCTGGGTCTGGGTCTAGTTCTGGCTCTGGCTCACGCAGAAGCCTCTCTGGCACTTGTAATTAAATCATGGGCAGAGCATCCAACTGCTGCATCACAAAATCGGGATCTTCAAAGGCAAATCGGGCTTAGTTCTAATGCGTTCTGCTGGGAAATTGAGTGTACTAAATATATGGCATTCCCTCAACTTATTTAGGTGCTTGCTATAGAATGGGGTTAAACAGCTTTAAAATAATCGGATTTTGGATGAATCGGATGAATATGTACATATGTATATATGTATGTACATTTAATTTTCAACAAAGTATATCATCGAACAATATCTACAATATCTATAAGCCAACTATATTGTAGGATAGTTACGGGAATACGGCTGCCATCGGAACGATCGACTTTCAAATCAAACCTTCAGCCGTAAGGCTTTTTCCCAATCAAATTGAGCATAAATGCAAATAAATGTTAGTCTCTGATTCGACAGCCGCAGGCCGTGCTTAACGAAACGCGGCCAGAGGAGAATTTTAAGTGTTTAATTGAAAAACTTTAAACGTTAAACGAGACAAAAGGCAGATAAGGGGGCGCGAACGAAACTCAAAACAAATATCCTGCAACAAAAACCACTGAAAATTTTGATGGGAAATCATCAAACGGATTTTAGAGTGACAGCCGTGTTATTTTTCCTGGCTTTTTTATATTGAAAGTTTTCAGCGAGGCACCGAAAAAGACACACCATGAGAAATGATGACAGTTGATAGTTGGCAGGCATTGCTCATCGACACTGTGTGCGCACCCACTCAAAGTGAATGCGTTTTTCCTCTGGGGGGTTCTTTTACTTCGTTCCGGCAGGCCGGGAAACATTAATTGACACGTGATAATTTAATTAACGTGGCAACTCCGAGACCGGCAACCAGGCAACCTGGCAACCCAACAACCCAGCATACGACTAGAAAGATACATCGAAGATACAATAGATGGAGTCGAGTCTCTCTACGCCACTAATTGGGTCAGCTTCAGGCAGTAGAAGGGTGGGGCTGTGGGGCAAGCGTGTGTTTAGCCATTGTTTTCCCATTGGCCTGGAGCCATCGTCATCGTCCCAGTCCCCCAGTCCCCCAGTGCTCCAGTGCTTCAGTGCCAGAGTGGAGTGTCTCTTAATTACGGTGCGCGCGTGTTGGCATAGAGGGATTTTCTTGTTGGGAATGGCCCGAGTCCCTGACACCCTCTCGACCCCGGGTCACACCCACGCCATCATTAACCACTTTGCATTGTTCGCCAGCACCATCGCGAGCGCCACAAAGTATGCAACAATAATTGACAGCGTACAAAACGGAAACGGAAATGGGATTGGGATGGCGACGGGACACGACGGCCTGCGATTATGGAACTGTGTCTTGGTTATTTGATGCCTCTTATTGAACAAACATTTGTCCATCGATCGATTCTCTATAACTACATATAGAAATAGGTTACATTAAATATGAAAGAAAAAATGTCCTGCCAAAAACGTAATTCACGCCTAACAAGATTACAAGCCGCTATCATTGTTGTGGCTGCTACTGTTTAAGCCGGGACAGCCACAAAACCGCAAAATTTGTGTTACATTGAAAATGTCGTTGTGTCAGCGAATTTCTTCTTTGTTTGTATTTGTTTTTTTGGCAACATATCCGTCCTACTTGTGTATGTTGGTTGGATTTTTTCCCTGTTTCAATGGCATACTTTCGAGCGTGACGCCAACCACCTGTATGGGAGAAATGGAAGCTGCTCCCAAACATGGGTCTCAGGTGCGAAATATCAACGTCGCTTTATTGTCGCCATTGCAGTTGTCCATAATGGTTTCGGCCATAAGCTTATACAACGGCAGGAGCACTGACAGTGGCGCGGCATCCATTCCCCTCAGGACAATCGTCCTGGCGTATACATTAACAGGGATTTTTATCACATTTCCCATTCAGATTGCGTCTGCAATGCTCTGCAGAGAGGAGAGGTGCGGCCATTGAAAATCCGATTTAAATGGGCACCGGAATTATTCGATCGGTTGATTACTTTTTATACAGAAGTTATTTTGGCGAATGTACCCAATACTTCATGCAGATCTCTGGAAATCTATGTACTACATACACCGATCTATACTAATCGTAGCATCCATAACCGCAGACCATTGCTATGGGCGGATACCCTTTAACGTTCTCTTCAACAAGTCTTGACTGCGACACGCTCGTCTTTTATGATGGCCTCAATTTGCATTGTGCGT